AGTCTTACGTCCCAACGAAGGAAACAGCATTACTGTGGCCTCATCTCAGACATTTGGCAGATAAGCTACCACCCCTTCAAGACTGTGATGTAGGGCTCCTGATTGGATATGACTGTCCATCTGCACTAGCTCCTCTTGAGGTTATCATTGGGGACAAAAATCAACCGTTTGCACAGAGATCAAAACTAGGATGGAGTATCATAGGCTCAGCAAACCCTCACCTAGACAGACAAGGAAATCAGAGCTTTGTGCATCGGCTCACAGTAAAAGAACTGCCAATTCCAGCAGCGACAGATGTTCTAAAAGCCCTAGAATCAGACTTCACAGAGAGAGCTTATGAAGATAAATATGTGTCCCAGAACGATGTTAATTTCATACAGTTCCTCAGTGACAACATCACGCAGAAGAAAGACGGACATTATGAGATGCCCCTCCCTTTCAAGGGCAATAGTCCACCCAACCTATCAAACAACAAGAGGCTAGCCACAGTTCGCCTGCAGTGCCTTAAGAAGAAATTAAAGACCAATAAACAATATTATGATCAATACAAAACATTCATGGAAGAAACGATTAACAAGGGTGATGCAGAGCCTGCCCCTACAACATCTGCGGGAGAGACTGAGTGGTACCTTCCGCATCACGGCATCTATCACCCCAGAAAAGCTGAGAGTCGTATTCGACTGCTCAGCCAAATTCCATGGGGTTTCTCTAAACGACACTCTACTAACTGGGCCTGATCTTATCAATCCTTTGGTAGGAGTTCTTTGCCGCTTCAGGAAGGAGGCCGTAGCGATCATCTGTGATATCGAAAGAATGTTTTATCAGTTTTCCGTCCCTCCTGAATCCCGCAATTATCTGAAATTCCTCTGGTGGAAAGGTGGAGATTTGGAAAAGGAACCACAGGAATACAGGATGGCGGTTCATCTCTTCGGAGCCGCCTCGTCTCCAGGATGCGCCAATTTTGGCTTGAAACATCTGGCACGGCAACACAAAGCTACCTATCCACTAGCATCAACATTTGTGGAGAAAAACTTTTATGTTGATGACGGGCTAGTCAGCGTCCCATCTGTCGAGGAAGCCAAGAACCTGATTGCTGAGTCACAGGAGTTGTGCAAAAGAGGAGGCCTACGCCTCCATAAATTCAACTCAAATGAGGAAGCAGCCCTCGCCTGCTTAGATCCCTCAGAAAGAGCAGCAACCATCGAACCTCTAGGACTGGATCCATCCCTATCAGAGCGTGCACTCGGCATTCAATGGTCGATTAAAACTGACACTTTCAGCTTTAACAGCAGCTTGAAAGATCAGCCTTCAACCCGGCGTGGTTGCCTTTCTGTCATTGCCTCTCTTTATGACCCACTTGGATTCATCGCTCCATTCAGCCTAACTGGAAAGCGTATACTTCAAGAGCTGTGTCATAGAGGCATCGGTTGGGATGATCCACTCCCAGAAGATTTGAGGCCACAGTGGGAGGAGTGGATAAATGGGCTTCACAGGTTGAAAGAGGTTTCAATTCCGAGATGTTACCACCCATATGACTTCCATAACATCGTCAGAGTAGAGTTGCACCATTTTTCGGGTGCCAGCTGCGTGGGATACGGTGCATGTTCTTACCTCAGGTACAAAAATGACAGGGATGAAGTCCATTGCAGTCTCGTGTTGGCGAAAGCAAGGGTTGCACCCTCAAAGGTCACAAGTATCCCGAGACTAGAACTCGCGGCAGCTGTGGTTTCTACGAAAGTCAGTGTCATGTTAAAAGGTGAACTTGACATAAAGATTGACGAAGAGGTTTTCTGGACAGATTCACAAGTTGTGCTTGGGTACATTAACAATGACGCCCGTAGGTTCCACATATTTGTTGCAAACCGTGTTCAGCTGATAAGGGATAACAGTGATCCCAGTCAGTGGCACTATGTGGACACCGCAGAAAACCCGGCAGATCATGCTTCCCAAAGTCTTCGTGCTTCAGACATTCATTCAACAAACTGGCTGCGAGGACCGAAGTTTCTCTGGGAGCGTAAATTACTTCTAACACCTAGCGCTCCATCAGAATTACTCGTTGGTGATCCTGAAGTCAAGACAATTCAGGTGCTTGCAACTGAAGCCAAAAACTACGATGACATCCTCAGGCGTCTGAGTCAGTTTTCCTCCTGGACAACAATTCTTAAGGTGGTGGCAAGAATCAAGAGGCTTGGTTCTAAACAGAAACAACACAGTGAGTATGTGACTGTTAAGGAGCGTGAGAAGGCTGCAGACGAAGTGATTAAGATTGTACAGCAAGCCTTCCCCCAGGAGATAAAGATGCTTCAGGGTAAAAAAGACCTTCCAAACTCAAGCTCTCTTTTCCGTCTTGACCCTATCTGGTCTGAAGGACTCCTCCGTGTTGGTGGGAGATTGAAACAGTCATCACTCTGTCACAAAGTCAAGCACCCAGTCATCTTACCAAATAATAGCCACATCACCAAGCTGATTGTGTCCCATTTCCACACTAAGGCATGCCATCAGGGTCGAAGCCAGACTTTAATGGAGCTTCGGGCCAATGGATTCTGGGTAATTGGTGGGAGCAAGTTGGTTGCTAAGTTGATACGTACTTGTGTGTTTTGCAGGAAACTGCGACGACCAACAGAGAGACAGCGAATGGCCGAACTTCCCAAAGAACGCGTCGAAGCTTCGGCACCTTTCACATACAGCGGCATGGACTGTTTCGGCCCTTTCATTGTAAAGAAAGCCCGCAAAGAATACAAAAGATACGGCTTGATTTTCACATGTCTGTACTCTAGAGCTGTTCATATTGAAATGCTCGAAGATTTGTCAACAGACTCATTCATCAACTCATTGAGATGCTTCATCAGCCTGAGAGGAGCTGTTCAACAACTACACTGTGACCAAGGCTCTAATTTTGTTGGTGCCAGAAATGAGCTCAAGGAAGCACTTAAACAATGTGACATTAAGCTACTTGAAATCTTCCTAACTGAGAAGCAGTGCGAATTTGTCTTCAATGCTCCCTCTGACAGTCCCGCAGGCGGTGTCTGGGAACGTCAGATCAGAACTGTTAGAAATGTGCTGAATGCCACCTTTGCACAGTGCCCAGGTCGACTTGATGACGCCTCCCTCAGAACACTGCTATATGAGGCCATGGCTATTGTTAACAGCCGCCCGTTAACAGTGGATGGAATCAATGATCCTCAGGCACTGGAGCCTATAACACCGAATCACCTCATAATGATGAAATCTAAAGTTGCTCTTCCTCCTCCTGGAGTATTTGTCAAGGAGGACCTGTATGCGACAAAGAGGTGGAGAAGAGTTCAGTATCTTATCGAACAGTTTTGGAGCCGCTGGAAAAAGGAGTATCTGCTAAACATATCCATAAGACAGAAATGGCACTTACCTCAGCGCAATCTCAAAGAGAATGATATTGTCATTATCAAAGACGACAACCTCCCAAGAAATCAGTGGCAACTTGGACGAGTGATTGAGACTGTTCAAAGTAGTGATGGCTTAGTTCGTAGAGTTAAAGTGCAAGTTGGGGAGAGGAAACCTCATAAAAAACAAGATCTTCCCTCCAAGCCCTCAGTTATTGAGAGACCAATAAAAAAATTGGTGCTCCTCCTTGAGAACTGATTAGAAGAAAGCAATTGACAACAATACACACACCGCTTTATTATGCGTGAGGCTATATAGTTACACCTCTGATAGCTTAACTTCAGGCTATTCATTTCTTAGAGTCAAGAAATCCTGTACAATTCATTTACGCTTTGTGTATTTGTTCATTCATTGTACTAGGATTTGGTGGGAGTGTAAATGTCTGATAAATTGCACTAATATTCTCCTAGTGTTATATTTATGTTAATAAGACATTGTAATTCTACAGTGTCGCCTGGTCTGTTCTGCTTTTATTTTGAAAAGCGCCGTTTTTCTTCTTCTGATGTTTTTTGTCGCGCTAAACTCCCTGTTACTCTCATCACAATGTGGTGCTCACGCGTCGTCGGAAGAACGGTAAAACTTGTAAACCCGTTTGTTATTTATCATGTTCATCCATTTGAAACTTGCAAAGAAAGAGTTTTACATTTGTGTTTACTTTATTATTTTTTGTATTGTTCGTACTTTTGTATTTCTAAGAGCTCCGAACTGTGAAGGTGTGTCGAACTAGAGAGCATGCTAGTTGATGGCCGAAACTATTTGATTAGCACCCTTGGAGAGCGGAATGAGGTATGACGGAAAAGAATGTCATTATTTCATTTGTTTATGGGTTAATTGCACATTTCATAAATATAAAAGCAATATATTCTTTCTGTGAACAACTAATATATTGTATTTCATTTAAAGGAAGCATGTGATATTTTATTTGTCATGAAGGCTTAAAAACATATTTCATATTGGTTAAAATGTTAAAATGATTTGTATGGGATGTAAACATGATTTATATGTGAATTGTTGGTGAAGCTACATAGAAGAATTTTGTATTTCTTCTGTTTTCTTCTGTAGTTTTCACGGTGTTCATTGTGCTTATGGTGCATGGTGCACGTTGAGAGGAAGAAATAAATCTACACCCGTTTGAAACTCTCTGCGTCTTGATCAATAAATCCAAGGGGCCGCTACAGCAGATACTCTATCAATGCCTGAATAAGTATGAAAAAATAGCAGATGAAGATGTTCCCGGGGGCGGGTTTTATGTAAAGTTTAGGGTTTGTGATGTCACTAACCCAGGAGGAATGTTGTGTAGTCCCTACCAGCCGTTTGTTGTAGTCCTTAAAAAGCGAGTTCTTTAAAAGCAAATATCTTCCTTTGCTTTGAACTTTGAGCGTTGTAACTTTGCAGATGTTGTTTATGCTCAAACAGCAACATTACACACTAACTAAAGTTAGAAAAGTGAAATCATAATCAACCACCCCTTTAAAACAACGTCATTGAAAGTGCTTCAGAAAAATTACAAACTTAAACATTAAATTAACGATTGCTGAATTTATTAAATACTTATGTAACGGCTGTAATTAGACATTAAAGCAGAATTTACATATACACACACACACATTTAACTGTAGTGATGGATGTTGGAGAAGCTTTATGGTGCATTTCATCTTCTCCACACATCCCAGAATGCTCAACTTTGGGTCCTCATTGTCTCATCAAAGTGCCTCTTTCCATCCAGGTACAGCATAGACTCTGAAGATGACCAAATGATTTGTTACAAATAATATTTTAAATGGAAAATAAAATGATATTGTACAAATACTGCACAATCTTCTCTATACACTGACCTTGCTTAAAAAATTATTACATAAAATAATTAAAAAATAATTTGAAATATGTTTATTTATAATAAAATGATTTATACAAATAAAATATTTTTCACCTCCATAGCTCTGTGGTATAACAGATGGGACCTCCTTCTCAACATGAAAGGTGAAGTGAAACACATTGGTGGTGCTGTGCTGCCGGGTCAATGGGTCAAGCACCTCTGTGTGAACCCTGACCTGGACGTGCATCCCTTCTGTGTAACAAACCTGATTAAAATATCACAGTGTTGTTAGTGTGAATGATATTTAAATAAGCTGTATCATGCAAAAGTTACTAACCTGAGAAGACAGCATGAGCAAGGATCCGATTTCTACTGGCTTCTGAAATAAGATGTCATCTACAGCCACCACTGTTGGTCTGCATCCACTGAAAGACACAAATACAGCCATGTGAAGAAAGGAATAACATTTTCACAGGAAATATTCCACACATAGTTGTTTTTCCTCTTACGCAAATGCACAGGCATTGGCCCGACCAAGCTCATAGGCCTTTCTCATCAGAAAACCACCAAATATCCGGTTGAAAATATTTCTTTCCTGTACAAAGAACAAATTAAATTCACATATATAAATACAATATTTAAAAGTGCCCCTATTATGATTTTTTGGGGAAATTACCACGTGTAGTGTGTAATATAGCTGTTTGTGAATGTAAAAGGTCTGCAAAGTTTCAAAGATCAAAGTGCACGATAAATGGAGTTATTGTCTCCCAAAAGAAAGAACCGATTCTGAACTGCCTGAAACAAAGTCGTCAGTAATTCCCGTATTACTTCCTGTATGAACTTATGTATGTTTGCAACAAATTTGCATAGTGCCGGCCTATGTTCTTCACTAGCTGCCCACGAACAACGTGTACTTTAACGAGCCCTGTAGTTGTAGCTGAAGTCTGGAAGAGCATTGGTTCATGTTGCCAACATGTCGAGAAGAAACTGTTGTGATAAAACTGGAGGCATAAAAAAATGAACGAATCACTCTCTGAGACATATTAAAGATTCGTTCAAAATTAACGAATCGTTCATGACCGAATCATCACTATTTAAGACAATTTGAGAAAAGAGGTGATGCTGCAATGTATATTATGAGAAAAGTAATATACATTGCAGTATATTACAGTAAGGTGTCTTTGCCTTGGATGCATTTAAAGACCTCCAAAACAATATTATGAACCTTTAATATAGCATAATAGGGGTACTTTAAAAGTTTTCAATTTTTTTTTTTAAAGAATACTGATTTTCTCGCCTGTGGATGGCAAATTTCAAGCCCTTTCAGTTTGGCATCTTCCATCCACACTGAATTTGGTGGTAGAATACGACTATGGAAACTCACACGTCTACAGGAAAGGAATTTTTAAAATGAATTTATACCCATAGTGAAAATAAAGGCACAGCGATTTATATCTGTGTATTGATAATAAATCTCACCTTGAGTCTAGAGTGTTGAGGAACAGGTTGTGAACGAGAGTCCTCTCCTCAGCTGTAGGGGCCACTTTAAGAAGAGAGGCTGTGCTCAGCTCCACACGCCTCTTCTTGTTAACTGATCAATGTGAATTTGGTAATGAATTCAGAAGCCAAAAAAATCAAAATAAATAAACTAAGGTACCCTTTGCATAATTATTAACTTAATAGTTTGAATTTATCCCTAATAAAATACAAGCTGCACACCTTTTTTTTTTTTTACAAATAAATTTAATCTATCTGGGTTGAATAAATGTAACTGCTGGGTTGAAAAGACGATTACTATTAATAGACAAAAATAAAATGTACTCACTTTCACCCTGTAGAAAAATTGCCTCTTCATCCGGGCCCTCAGGTTTGAGTGGGTTTACAAAAGCTGCCCTAAGGAAAGAATATACGCATCAACTCACTGACACCGCATATCAATTTCTGGCTTGTTGACCGTATCATTGAGCTGTGATACCTTTTATTTTCAGGATCTCGAGCCACCATTACAAACGTGGCATCTAATACATCTGTGTAAGCTCCATCCTGACACTGAGAGTTCATTTTATTTTAATGATCTTAATATGTGCAAGATATAACATGTATATTTTATATTAAAAAAAAAATCATATATACCTGAGACATGTGCATTTTAGCTTCTATTGAGGTTTTGCCAACCCATGTCACGTGACCTGTGAACTTGATGTCACAGTCTGGGTAGATGATGTTTTGTCTCATGTCTGATACATATTAACAATAGCATATGAATAAATAATTAATCATGCATTAAATTTCAAATTAAATCAACTTGAGAGGCAATACAATAACTAGCTGTATACAGTATCTAATTCTGCATTAATAAATGAGATGCGATACCAATCTTGTCCACTAGGGCGGTGACAATAGACAGTGGAGATCTTTGTAGCTCCTCATTCCATGTGTGAGAGTAACAGATAAGCACTAAGGAGACAAGAATGAGACAGCATTATATACCCTATTTGTTCATTTGAGTTTTTACAGCATACATATGTAGTACCTCCTAAACAGTCCAAGTCCTCCAAAATCCGTCCAAACCTGTGAAGAAAAAAGCATTTGGGCTAAAACAGTGATCAGAAAGATATACATAAAGATTCACACTAGGTGTTTTTTTTCATATTCAAGCAACCAGCAACTAATAAGCATGCTGCATTTGCATAGTAATGGTCTTTCAGTACCTGACACTGTTGTGAGAGTTGAGATATTTCTCTCTCAAGGCAGGCTGGGTACCCAGAGGAAGATGAGCCTCGATTGCACTGTCCTTCATTGTCTTTGCAGGCAGTTCATCCTGACTCTGAGCAAGATACTGGCTTAGTGATGCACGCTCGGCCAATACTTGCTGATGGTCTCTGTATGTTATGGAGAAAATGCATTTTCTGTCCAGCTGCATTCCTAATTGATTTGCTTATTCCAGCATAATGTGCAATTATTGCAATAATGATACATCAGTAACATACTGCCAGTTGGTAGATGCGCCGACTATCTCTCTCAGCCGGTTGCGAACTGTGAAAAATAAAAAAACAGCAAAATGTATTTTAATAATAAGAGACATTGGTTAGCCTTTTAGTTTTGGTATTAGAAACACAGATGGTTTATCTTCACACTAGGTTGATTAATTTAAAGCCAAATATTATGACAATTGCATTATGTTAAAACAGGAAACAAAAGACAGGAATCAAAACAAGACTGTTTCAAAAGGCTGCTAATTAAAGGCCAGGTATAAGGTCACAGAAGGGTAAGGCTATTTATTTAGGAATCCTGTTAATTTTCTTGCTATTGTGTAAAATAATCAAGAAAAAAAAAAAAAAGAGTAAACCTGCATACTTTAAAAGTCTGCTATATGTTTCTATAACATATTTTCAAAAGGTAATACCGGTAATACAAATTAGGAATGACTAGTCTGGTAGTCACTGTGATTTTAAAAAGTTAGACAACTCCTGTCCGAAAACTTACCCTATCTACCCATAAATTATCCCTAAAATCAGAGGGAAATGATAGAATGATGAAAAAATGTTAATTGAATTGTTGTAATACTAAACTTGACATAAACTGTGAACTTGTCCCTCAAATCTGATGGTTGCTTGGAATGTTGATCCAGGAACATTGTACTTGTTGAAATGACGTTCACCGACTAGTGTATTCCTGTTGTTACCTTCAGCCATATCAAATGCCATTCCTTGTCGGGATATTTGACCCATGGAAAACTTCCTGAACGTGAAGGACACCGCAGACTTCAGGACCCTATACAAAGCGAGTGAGCTGCCATAAGAGGCACGAAAAAGCCTACAAAGGGTGAAGCCATGCATCAACGTAATTGAATATGAAACTTTAGCAGAAAAAACAACAACAACAAGAAACAATAGTCTTGAAGATAAAATACATACGAGTCAGAAGATACAGATGTAACTCACCGTGGACACGACATGTTTTGGTTCTTCCCTCGCCACTTTTGAGAACAGCAGGAACGTTTGTTTTTCTTTCAAATCAACAACAAATCTCATCTGAACTTGATCTCGATTTTCTTCTTCTCGATCCTCCGCGCACAGTAGCCTACTGTTATTAATACTAAATTTTAACTAACAAACACACACAATGGTCCAGTTTATAACGTAGTTACGCCCATTATTGTTTAGAACGTTTTCAAAGCGAACAATGAGCGTTATTTAGGGTAAAAAAAACATCTCAACAACATGACTAATTAAAGCTGCAAGCAGCATTTAGCGGTGTTCAAGCAGTTAAGGCCTTTAAGGCCGTTAAGCACAAAAGCATCAAAAGACATTAAGTTTTATTAAGCATACATTTAACCACTGACATAATAGATGGAAAACACCATTTAAAGCCAATACAGGCAATTTACCATAGGAAATATATAGTTTTAAAGCTTTTTAACAGTTATAGCGCCACCTATGGTCCAATCTCCATAAAACTTTGCATGCTTGTTAATGATGTTATGTCACATATGCTCATCAATTTTTGTCAAGTTCTGAGTTTTCATTTATGATTTATAGGCTTTTGAGTGTATTTTGACACGCCCCTTTTCTAAATGACCCTGTTACAGTGAACCAAAGGGCAAAGTTCAACTTTTTTTTGATAATTATTGATCTAGAGAGTCCAGAGAATTGTCCTAGACTGGTCTGGTTTTGATCGGGCGAAAAACCAGGGACTAGTTCGCAAAAGTAGGTTTTTAACATATTCGTGAATATTTAATGAACGATTTGATTGACAGCAATGGTTCTAGAGGCAAAGTTGTTCACCATGAGGAGATCTATCAAATGATATGCATTTTGGGGGGATGTGTACAACACCACGTGATTACAGAGCCGTAAAACTCGTTAGCGCCAACTAGTGGCCGATTTCTTTCAAAACTCTTACAGACCTCTTGGGCCATGAGTCGAACATGCCCATCGAGTTTCGTTCCGATTGGCCTCTGTTAACCTCGTCTCAAATTCATTGGTCAATGGCGGCCATGTTTTTTGAGATACGTCAATGTCCTCATAGACATACATGGGGCCTTGGACCAAGACACTGCATACCAATTTTCAAGTCAATCGGACTAACGGTCAGTCCTTTATATGTTTTTTTCATGTTATAGCGCCACCTAGTGTTCGATCATCGCGATTTTTTTACTGTGACCTCAGATTGAACTCATGCACAACTGTACCAAGTTTGGTGAGCCTATCTAATTTACTTCTGGAGTTATAGCCATTTTAGAAAAATAGGCTCCTCCCACAACGTTATTTTTGCGCCCCCTAGCGACCGGAAATCGAAATTTCAACTTTTTTTCGATTATAATTTATGTTCAGACTCCACAGAACATTTGTGCACTGGTTTGGTTCCGATCGGGCAAAAAATCAGGGACTAGTTTGCAAAAGTCGTTTTTTGACAAAATTCAAAATGGCGGAAAATTTATCATGACGCAAATGAAATCGGAGATATACGTTTTTTAAGTCAGGAGTCCAGCTTTCCAATGATATAAGACACTTGAGTCTACGACTTACGGTCTAGGAGTTATGAGCAGTTTTGCGCAATTGGTTGCTATAGCGCCACCTATGGGCCAATCGGGCTCATAATTTGATAAGCTCTCCTCGATTTTTGTACTACCATCTGACAAAGTTTCAAGTCTCTAGCATTTACGGTTTGGGCTGCACGATGCGTTTTACGGCGGAAGAATAATAATAAAAATAATTAAAGCTGCTAGCAGCATTTAGCGGTGTTCAAGCAGTTAAGGCCTTTAAGGCCGTTAAGCACAAAAGCATCAAAAGACATTAAGTTTTATGTAGCAAGCATGATTTACCATGATATACTACATTTCAGTGTGATTTTTCATGATTTACCATGTTCCAGTATGATTTACCATGAATCTAACATGATTTTCCATAGTTTACCTTGATATACCATGTTATATGATGATTTACCATGATATAGCACATTGTAGAATAATTTACCAGGATTCTAGCATGATTTACCTTTTTTACTATGATTTACCATGTTTCTGGCATTATTTACCATGATTTACCACGTTGATAGCAATTATATGAAGCATAAGAACAATTGAAGTGATAAACTCTGACAAAATATGAATGTGTTATAATAGTAATTGTTATATAAGTGATTTTATAGTGTCTATATACAAAAAAAGACTATTAATAAGAAGAGTGGCCAGCAGAGGGCAGTAGAAGACCACTTATTGGCTCACTTTCATTTTCAACTACTTTGTTTCTCCAGTATTCTCCACTGAAGCAAACCATTTTTTTCATGTTAACTCCATAATGCATGCTTACACACACACACACACACACACACACACACACACACACACACACACACACACACACACACACACACACACACACACACACACACACACACACACACACACACACACACACATTTTTGGGATATGTTATTGTGAAAATCAGTTTTAATGGTATATGAGCATTTCACATATTTCTTTGCAATGTAATAATATAAAACTAATTAAAGAAAATGCTTTAAGCATTTGTTTGTTAGCCAATGCTGAAAGCTGATAAAAAAAGATTAAAAATGTCTAATGCTGCTGCTCCATCTAGTGGACAACAGTGCTATTACAGCCTACTTATACAATAGGCCATGTTTTTCATATCATTTAATCTACACACGCTCATTCTGATGTAGATAGAGACATTTGGAACTTCAGGATCCAATGTGACTCAATTGTCACTTCAATAGATGATTTTTGACTAAATGTTATTGTAAATGTTAAAATAGTGAATTTATAAAGTCTAAATATTAATTATAGTTGAGTAGTGTGACAAAATGACTTTTTTTAAACAGCAGGGGGCAGTAAAATACCACTTATTGGCTGTTAGCCTTTTTCAAGCTGTTATAGCTGTTCTTGACCTTTTTTTAAGAAGCTATGAGCATTTATTGAAAAGATATTGGCTTTCGCTCAAGGCTACATATTGAAGTGACCCTATTATAGTCATCCAAATGAAGAAGTTATACATTTTCCTATAATTATTGTTCTAGAGAGTACAGAGCAATAGATGAATTTTGACAAAATGTGATTGTAAATGTTAAAATAATGATTTAATAAAGTCTAAATATCAATTATATATAAAAATATTAGAGAGTAGTATGATGAAATGACAGCAGGGGGCAGTAAAATACCACTTTTTGGCTGTTATAGCCATCCAAGCTGTTATAGCTGTTATAGCCATCCGATTTACACTCTATTATAGCCATCCAAATGAAGTAATTATACCTTTTCTGATAATTATTGATCTAGAGAGTCCAGATAATTGTACTGCACTGGTTTTAAACATTAAGATATGAAAATTATACGATCATAGATGGAAAAGACCATTTACAGCCAATACAGGCAATTTACCATAGGAAATGTATGGTTTTAAAGCTTTTCAACAGTTATAGCGCCACCTATTGTCCGATCTCCATGAAACTTTGCATGCTTCTTCACCATGGTATGACACATATGCTCATCAATTTTTGTGAAGTTCTGAGTTTTTATTTATGATTTATAGGCTTTTGAGTGTGTTTTGACACGCCCCTTTTTATAAATGATCCTGTTATAATGAACCAAATGGCAAATTTCAACTTTTTTTCAATAATTATTGATCTAGAGAGTCCAGAGAATTGTCCTAGACTGGTCTGGTTCCAATCGGGCGAAAAACCAGGGACTAGTTCGCAAAAGTAGGTTTTTAACATATTCGTGAATATTTAATGAACGGTTTGATTGACAGCAATGGTTCTAGAGGCAAAGTTGTTCATCATGAGGAGATCTATCAAATGATATGCATTTTTGTGGGGATGTGTGCAACACCACGTGATTACAGAGCCGTAAAACTCGTTAGCGCCAACTAGTGGCCGATTTCTTTCAAAACTCTTACAGACCTCTTGGGCCATGAGTCGAACATGCCCATTGAGTTTCGTTCCGATTGGCCTCCGTTAACCTCGTCTCACAGGTGCTCAAACTTCATTGGCCGATGGCGGCCATGTTTTTTGAGATACGCCAATGTCCTCATAGACAATCATGGGGCCTTGGACCAAGACACTGCATACCAATTTTCAGGTAAATCGGACTAACGGTCAGGTGGCCACACCCCCTTTTATGTTTTTTTAATGTTATAGCGCCACCTAGTGTTAGATCGACGCGGTTTTTTTACTGTGACCCCACACTGTCCTCATACACATGTGTGTCAAGTTTGGTGAAGATATCTCATTTCGTTCTTGAGTTATAGCCATTTTTGTAAAATAGGCTCCTCCCACAACGTTCATTTTGCGCCCCCTAGCAACCAGAAATCGAAATTTCAACTTTTTTTTAATAATTATTTATATTCAGACTCCAGAGAACATTTCTACACTGGTTTGGTTCCGATCGGGCAAAAAACCAGGGACTAGTTCGCAAAAGTAGTTTTTCAACAAAATTCAAAATGGCGGAAAATCTATCATGGCGGAAATGAAATCGGAGATATACGTTTTTTAAGTTAAGAGTCCAGCTTTCCAATGATATAAGACACTTGAGTCTACGCCTTACGGTTTAGGAGTTATGAGCTGTTACGCGCAATTGATTGCTGTAGCGCCACCTATAGGCCAATCGGGGTCATACTCTCTGAACCTCTCCTCGATTTTTGTACTACCATCTGACAAAGTTTCAGAGCTCCAGCACTTACGGTTTGGGCTGCACGATGCGTTTTAGGGGAAAATAATAATAATAATAATAATAATAAAAATCAGTACAAATACAATAGGTTTTCAGCACTTCGTGCTTGAACACCTAATAATAATAAAAATCCTTACAATTACAATAGGTTTTCAGCACTTCGTGCTTGAACACCTAATTAAAGCTGCTAGCAGCATTTAGCGGTGTTCAAGCAGTTAAGGCCTTTAAGGCCGTTAAGCACTTAAAGCATCAAAAGACATTAAGTTTTATTTAGCATACATTTAACCACTGACATAATTGATGGAAAAGACCATTTACAGCCAAAACAGGCAATTTACCATAGGAAATATATGGTTTTAAAGCTTTTTAACAGTTATAGCGCCACCTATGGTCCGATCTCCATAAAATTTTGCATGCTTGTTAATGATGGTATGTCACATATGCTCACCAATTATTGTGAAGTTCTGAGTTTTTATTTAGGATTTATAGGCTTTTGAGTGTATTTTGCCACGCCCATTTTCTAAATGACCTTGTT